GCTGTGGCAGAATATCTCCTTTAGGACCACAAACCCACTGACTTCACTTCCTCTCACTAACCCCATTCACTGAAAGTTCCATTACCTCTGAATGGAGCCACCAGCAGGTGACAGAGCTTTTAGCACAATTGACCTTTGAAGGACATTTAAGATCCAAACCATAACAAGGAACTTTTGATAGCACACAGCAGCAATGTAAATTTCCAGTGCCCTAGCCCTGTGACACAGGACACGGAGCTGGCAGCTAGCAACCGTAGTTTGAAAGCCTCTTATCTAAAAGGGTGTGCACTCAAGTTGGAGAAGGACTGCTGCAAACTACAGTGAAGTGTCTCTACTACATACATGGTTCTTAATTAACTCATAAGAAAGAAGCATGCGTGCATTTATCATCCCTTAAGTGGGAGCAGTAATGCACCCTGTTTAATCATGCAAAATATCCCTGTATCTTGCAGTAGAAAAACTCATGAAGCTAGGCATGAAACAAAGTTATCTCCTAGGTTTCTGGACATTTAGAAAAACAATAGACTATGACTCTCCACAGGGAGTCGGGCATTTAACAGCTTTGGGATTTTCTATGAGACACTGAGTTAGGAGAAATTAAGATGGCCTAAGTTCAACTACACCATGAAAGGCTTCTGTCCTCACAGACTCTCAGACTGCTAAAGGCCTACAGAAAAACTTGATCGGCTTGTCCAGTAAGCACGGTCACTTTGCCTGGTAGTATTGTACTTTACACGTAAAATTCGTTCCCTGTGTAGAGCTTCCAACATCTCTGCCACACCGTTTGCAGCCCAAGTTCAGGTCTTCTAGCTACTATTTAAGAATCCAACAAGAAACAAGGACAAGACAAGACAAGATGGAAGCCAGAACACAGAAGAGAATGGTCAGGAAACCTCCAAGCACGGTTCTCTGCTCGGGTCACATACAAGAAAACCGTGAGCTGTTTCAGCACTCAAGCTCCAGAGTCCCCATCGAGTGTGTTATGGAGATGGCAAAATGCACAAAGACAAAACCCATTTCAAAGGTGCCGAGAGAAATCTTGTGGCCAGGTGGTAAGGGTTTGTGAGGGCAAGTCTGCAGCATGCAGTTAACCTCCACTTATACGTCTTAATTCGTATTGCATTCATTTCTGTTCTCTCTCTCTCTGAGGTGGCTCCCTCTGTGTTGGGTGATACTAGATACTAGAATGTAACGTGTTGTCTTCCCTGGCAGCTGCTTGGGCCCTGCTGAGCTGTCTGAACCCCGAAATAACACACGACACTATATTAATTATGAAGCTGTTAGGCATTTGCTATTTTTTCATTGGCTAGCTCTGACATAATTATTGACCCATAATCACTAATACATATTTTTATAAGGACTTATCTTTTCGAGAACACAGACTTGCATGCCTTCTTCCCAGGAATCACATGGCGATGGCTCCCTTCACTACATTCCCAGAATCCTCCTAGACTCCTAGTCCCACCTATCTTGCTTCCCTATTGGCCAACAGGGAATTATTCAACAACCAATAAGAGAGACAGATTTACAAAATAACATCTCCCATCACTAGGAGGTGAACAAAGAAATAAAAATTGAGATTGAGGATAAACCCTAAGGCAATCATTCCAGTTGGAAGGAAAGGCGATGGAGGAAGGGGACTCTGCTGACTGGGAGACTCAGGCTGTCACCAACAGAGGCTAGACAGTTATTGGGTTGTTGGAGCAACTTGTGGCATGTTGATCAGAAGGGACAGTATTACTTTGGACATCCCTGCTTATGTAAGATACAGATCAGTGCCCGCTTAGTCCCTGGAGACATCTCAGCATTTTCTTCTACGTGTGTGTGTGTGTGTGTGTGTGTGTGTGTGTGTGTGTACGCACACGCGCACATGTCCTAGTATTTACCTTTTGTGTCCATTATCTTTATTTCAGTTAAACTTGTAATATGTGTTTAACTGCCAGAATTAAATAGATTGCGTCTCTCAAAAGGGGCCTATGTGTACATACCTGATGGAATCTTAACATGCGTGAGCTTGAGGAAATACAAACAGTAAGAACTGACTCTGGGCTCTGGAATAAGAACTAAAAACACCGTCTATTTGTGAAGAAAAACTGCCAATAAGGTCATACATGAGATTAGCTATAATTGAGCAATCACTATGGAAAATGAACATTGTTTTTGTCAGGGAAAAAAACTGACCTAGGAAATGCAAGGAAACAATATTCCCTTTCTCTACCAGGAAAGTAAGGCTGTGTGGATAGCCTAGGGCTGAGGCCCAAGCATTCTTACTGATGAGTGACAAAGTATGAGTTGGGATAGAAAGAGAAAGGGAATACAAGGAACACAGTTTCTCTTTCCTCTGGATCTGACTTATGTCTCACTGGCTGAGAGCCAAGAATTCCGACACAAGTGACCAAACTGCTCCAAACTCCCCTGACAGAGATGTCTCATTTTCTAAGAGGTATCTCTATAAGAACACTAAAGCAGCCAAAAAGCCGTATGTCACATTCCTGTGTCTTAAACTCTGGGTCATGTGATGTTAACTGCAGCAATCCTCCTTCCTCAGCTGACCTCGTCAAGGCTCCTCAAGAACGACTTTAGATCACCTTTAGAGAAAGAAAAAGGATTTAACGCAAAAGAAGGTAGCTCAGGAGTTTAACTCCATTTTTAGACTTCATTTGATTTGTAAAGTTTGCATAATATTTAGGCCTACTTGTTAGTGACATCCACTGAGCAATGTAACTTCAAGAAAGTCACTAAAGCAGATCTGTGGCTACTGTTAGGAATAAAGCTTGTGGGAACGTTGGTGAATTCCATGGCAGGCGAGGGTGACCGAGGAGGGTGACAAACATGCCAGACAGACAGAGCTTAGGGAGAAGTTTTATTAGAGAGGGAAGGGGGGGGAGGAAAGACAAGAGGTAAAGAGACAGACAGAGGACAAAAGAGAAGGAGACAGGAAAAGTCCTGTCTGCCCCATGGGAACAGCAGGAAAGAGAGTGGGAAAAAGAGCATAAGTGGGCGGGGGTCTTCCTTTTAAAGGGGTCCTTTGCACCTGGAAGCTGACCAGGGCACTGCCTGAGTGTATTCTTCTAGGTGACAGAGGCAGGCCAGCACAATGCCGGAGTCCTTACAGCTACTGTAAAGACACTTCAGTGTATCTGGGCGTAGTGGTACACACTTGTACACTTGAGAAGCAGAAGTGAAAAGATCAGAGTGTATTGGCCAGTGTCAGCTTTGTAGTGATCTCAAGTCCAAGGTGAGCTGCAGGAGACCTTGCCTCAAAAACCACAGCAATGAAAATCAAAACAGCAACACAAGTGTGGCTTGGTGTCAAAGGCCTGAAATCCTAGGGATTCCAGAGGCTATCGGTAGGAAAGCTGAAGGCCCACCTGGACTTCAGAGTGAGTTCAAGACCAACATGGGAAAATTGGTTGGACCCTGTCCACAAATAAAATGTACGAAAGAGGATGGAGTAAAACTCAGAGGCAGTGTGCCTACCTCTTTCACATGCATGTGTGAGGCCCTGGGTTCAGTCTTCACTACTGATAAAAGAGCACGGAGCATGTCCTGCTTCCCATCTGTCCTGCTTCCCATCTGTCCTGCTTCCCATCTGTGCTGTCCAGTTTGTCTCTTTGAGTGGCACCTCTATTGGCTTTCTAATATAAATTTGGCTCCATACTGACTGGTCCTCTGTTGGGGCCCCGAATATGATATTTTGAAAATAGGCCTTAGCTCAGTTCCAGGAGTCCGAATCTCCTGTTGTCTTTTACATGTTGGCTGGTTACCTCCAGATGGCCTGGTCCTAGTGGAGGATGGCTTCTAGTTTATGTAACAATAGACCTAGGCCAAACGCCCATCATGAGGGCTAGTGGGACGTGTCTGAGTGTCTGAAGATTGGTGAGATGGGCCATTACAGAAAATCTGAGGGCTTGTGTACGTGCAATCTTCCTCGTCAGCCCTATATACATGATAATAGATGTCTTCTACCAGTACCCCACTTTTGGAAAGCTATTTAAGAGAATGCTTAAATAAACGGTGGTCTCCAGTATGGACCGAGAGCCCCCCTGAAATGACAAGGTATCTCTGTCTGGTCCTTAACACCGCTGGGTAGCTAAGACTTCCCTGATCCACACTCCCCCACTCAGGGTCAGACCCAGGACTGTTCAGCTGGTTTGGAACACAGCCCTAAAGACATCAGTCCAGAATAGATGGCTCTTGCAGCCTAGACTAATACTGGCCGGACCCAGACAGTCCTGAAATTTATTTCTGCAGCTATAGCTGTGCCTGACAATTCCTCTTAGCTCTTAGCCAGCAGCACTGGGAGATGCTTGAGAGAGTCATTTCTTCTCTGATGGCTGTGCTTACAGGCAATTAGTTCTTCCAAATTCAGTACAGAGATGAATAGAAAGGGATCTCAGGGGATCAGGTCCTTGAATAACACTGACCCCTAAGGTAATAGTCAGGGGGATGGAATAGGAGATCTAACAGCAACTCACAGTAGAAGTAGATTTCTTGCCTGTCTGAATTTTGGAGGTGTTTCCCCTGTGAACTTAGAGGGCAAGGGGTCTCTGAACTAGAGTAGTGAATGTAGTTACCAACAGGCAACTCTCCCTAGGGACTATTACAGGGTTGGGGCTTTGTATGGGAGGTACTAGATAGGATATAGGGTATGGTCTTCTCTCTATTCATAAATGATGGTTGAAGGCTTCAGATTGGAGTTGAGTGGCCAAGTATGCACATTGGCAGAAGAAACAATCATAACCGAGTAACAGTTCACTGACTCACTAACGTCAGATTTTGGTTTTGGTTTCCAGGTGAACTTCCCCTTTCATGGTATCAAGCAAGATACTGATTGCTTTTCTGGGTGTAGCAGCTGCTGGGGGTAGGGGTAGGGGTGGGGCTTGGGCTCTAGTTTCAGGCAGCTTCACCTCTTTCCCCAGGGAAGAAGGCGGGCGGGGTGTTTATCTTAGTACAGTATTAATAAATAAGGTTCTTTCAAGTGGAAATGGGGTGGAGGAGGGAGGAACCTTCCTGTTTTGGCTAAAACTGTCCCTCAGTCTGCTGAGGCTGGGATCTCATGACTCACTCTGAGCTTCCTCGTTCCTGAGTTCATATTTTAAGTACTCAATAGAGAGAAACTCCAGTTCCTTAGACAGACACGTGACTGAGTTAGGGTTGTCTTAGTTAGCGTTGCTATTTTGATGAGGAAACCCTGCGACCAAAATCAAGCTGGGAGGAAAGGATTTATCTGACTTCCACTGCCACACCGTAGTCCATCATCAGAGGAAGTTAGGACAGGAGCTCAAACAGGGCAGAAACCCAGAGACAGGAGCTGATGCAGATGCCATGGAGGGATGCTGCTTACTGGCTTGCTCCTCATGACTTGCTCACCCCAATTGCTTATAGAGCCTGAACCACCTGCTCAGTAGTGGCTACCCGTAATGAACGGGGCCTTCCCCCATCAATCACTAACTAAGGAAATTCTATACAGTTCAGGTTGATATAAACCTAGCCAGAACACTTCTTTATCCTAATTTCTTCTCTCCCCTCTTTCTGTCCCTTTGATTTTTGCTATTTTCATAGATTTTTACTGTTTGCCCTACACTTTAATAAACTGCTTTTCTCTTGTTGATTTCACAATAACACAAACTTAGGCTGTGAAAACAGATATTTTCATACTCAAACATGAGAAATTTTCACTTTTATTGGCCCTGCCATATGGAAACTTCAGTTACCTTAGTTATATAACATCAATCCTTCAACTATACAGTTGTATTTCAGGGACCACAGTATCTGAACTGAGTAATTGCACACAGTATAAACAGTTGCTGTTATGTAAACAGATGCTAATCATGATTACAGGCAGAAAATAAAGCATGTAGGTGTCTCACCTCATAGTTTCCCAGCTCTTGAAGTAGATGATGAAATACTTTTATATTTAAAGAACAATATTGTCAGTTGATTCTCTTGGAGACTAGGGAGTGAAGAATTTGCTTTTATCACCAAACAAGTTTACTAGTCAATTTTGTCAGACAAGGAATTTTTTTTGTTTTGGTTTGTTTTTAGGGTTTCTCTATAGCTTTAGAGCCTGTCCTGGACACTCTATAGACCAGACTGGTCTTGAACTCACAGAGATCAAGGTGCCTCTGCCTCCCAAGAGCTGGATTAAAGTCATGTACAACCACCTCCTATCGGAATTTTTTTTAAGTTTCTTCTGCAGTACTGAGGACTGAATACATTTATGCATTAGGGTAGGAAGTCAAAGTAGACAATATCCATACATAGAATATGGCATGAACTTTTAGTCCATTTGCAAGTAACTTGTCATGATAAAGATAAGGAGAGTTACAATAGATGACTGTGGTACCTTTCCACTGGTATGACAAAAATACCCAAAATGACTTAAGAAGAGGAAAAAATGGTTTTGCTCATGGTTACAGAGGTTTCAGTCCATGGTTGCTTGGTCCTGCTGCTTTTCATTTCTAGCAAAGCAGAGCATCATGGGTGAGCACAGCACAGGTGCTCACTTCCTGGTGTCCAGAAAACAAGAGAAGAGCTAAGATCTTAGTGGCTTCTTTGAGGAATAGCTAGACAACCTGACTTCCCACTACAAGGCCTTATGTCCTAATAGTGCCACTTCAGAGGCCTAGGCCTCAGCCTGTGGGCCTATGCCGGACACTCCAGAGCCAGACTATAGCACTGGCCATGGGCATGAGGACACTGCTGGTTCTGGAGTTAGGCCTCAGCATATGTGTAGAAAGTGATTGCAGTGAAAACCATGTGGGAGCTCTTATGTGACAGCAGCAAAGGAAACTTCACTTCAGCAGAATTCTGTTTTGTTGAAAGCACAAAGGAAAAATATGATGTTTAGAAGATAATCTAAACTTAGAAAAATGAGTGACAATCCAAACTTAGAAAGAAGTGTGACAACTCATTAAAGAGCAGAAAGAGGTCTACCATCTTATAAATTAAACATTGAAAAGCAAGCACTCTTGAAACTATTCTGGATAAGCTAGTCAGTTAGTTAGTTGGTTAGTTAGTTTGTTTATTTACTTATTTTATTGAGATAGAGTTTATCTGTGCAGCCCCAGCTTTCCTGGAACTCATTATGTAGACCAGACTGGCCTCAAACTCTGAGGCCTCCCTATCAAGTGTTGGTATTAAAAGCATATACCACTATGTCCAGTTTTTTTAGAAGCTAAGTGCTTTAATTAATCATGTTTATATGGCCTTCATTTACTACATAAATGGTATGTTTAGTTTTTAAATTCACTTGGTAATGAATAATTTTGTTTGTGTTTTTCAAGACAGCATTTTTCTGTATAATATCCCTAACTGTCCTGGAGCTAGCTCTGTAGACCAAGCTGAAATCAAAGTCACAGAGATCTGCCTGCCTCTGCCTGATAATTTTTTATTTTGTGTTTTAACAGCAATTTTGAACAATCATGGTTTTCCACATTGACTAAGATTGTTTCCTATGGATGGAGTATGTACTGACAGTTGGTTCTTCATTAATATCAAAAGTCCCTCCCTCCCTCCCTCCCTGCCTCCTTCTCTCCCTCCCTCTCTGCCTCCTTCCCTCCCTCCCTCCCTCTCTCCTTCCCTCCCTCCCTCCCTCCCTCTCTCCTTCCCTCCCTCCCTGCCTCCCTCCCTTCCTCCCTCCTTCCCTCCCTTCCTCCCTGTTTCCCTCCTTCCCTCCCTTCCTCCCTCCCCCCCTTCTCTCCTTTTCTTCATTTTTTGACTGTTAATACAGTTTACTATCCAGCCTGGGGAATGATGCTACCACATCCAGGAACACAGGTCTTCCCACCTCAATGGCCACAGACAAACTTGCTTTAGGTAACTCCTCATTAAAACTCTCTTCCTAGGTTGTGAGTGTAGGCCGTGTCAAGTTGGCAGGTAAAACTAACCAGCACAGCCACATTTAAATGTGTAGAGGGATGTAGTCAGTTATTTAACTGATATTTATTTAACATCAACTATGGCCAAGAATTGGAGATGTACAAGGAAGAAAACAAAATATTTGGAAATATTTATTTTATTTAAACTATTGTATGTCTGTAGATATATGTGTAGGTGAGTGAGGTGCCCCAGAAGCCACAAGCATCAGATCCCCTGGAACTAGAATTATAGGCACTTTGTAAGGTGCTAGTCATGAGTGCTGGGAACCAAACTTAGGTCCTTTATAGGAGCAGTACATGCTCTTAACCACTGAGCTATCTCTCCAGCCCTGAAAAATACAAAAATCTTAGTCATAGTAAATTAAACTGTTTCCAGTGGTTTCAGGAGCTATGGATGAAACCAAAACTAGAAAAGTGGTTTAAGATTTGGGCAGGGTCCTGGAGAGCACAGCTCTGAAGTGATGTTGAACATAGGGTCTTATTTAGCTAGAGGAAGAACATCTCAAAAGGGAAATACCGAGTACTTACTGTTCTCTTAGTGTTGATGACTCAATGAAATAGTGTTTTGGGGCAATTCAGGAACCAGGTCTGGTGAAGTCCTGGACACTGGCCAAAAGATGGAGCACATAAACTGAACATCACAAATGCTGTGACTCCAGGCCAAAGAGTAAGTAGTTCCTTATCCAGTTTCTCCTTAATAATTTCATAAAAACATGTTGATTCAAAGCCTGTTTGGTGTCTTCCTTAGAACATGACCAGTGGAAGAAATTCAATTAAAGCAGTGGTTCTCTACCTTCCTAGCACTGTGACCCTTTAATACAATTCCCCACATTGTGGTGACCCCAAGCAGAAAATTATTTTCATTGCTGCTTTGTAACTGTAATTTTGCTACTGTTGTGAATCATATTGCAAATATCTGATATGCAGAATATCTGAGGCACAACCCCCGTGAAAAGGTCATTCGACCCCAAAGGGGTTGTGAGCCACAGGTTGAGAATCACTGAGTTAAAATAATCTAGTTTCTAGTACCCGGATGTTGCCTTTTAGTTAGCAGACACGCTGCAGTCAATAGCTTTCACATGTAACTGTAAACTATTTTCAATGTATTTCATGTCTGACTTTATTTTTCTGAGGGCAGTGACAGTACACAAGTCTTAATTGGCCTGATTTTGCATTTACTTATTTCCACGATTAGGTCACAAACTCTAATTTTGTAAAATAGCAGCTAAACATTTGCCACATTTGTGATTCAGTTCCAGAAAGAAAAAAAGTGAAACAGGGAGAAAAGTAGTAATGGCTTTGTCTTATTGTGCACCAAATATTTTTTTAAGTGTATTTGTTGGTTAAATCTTCAAAGAATCTAGAAAGGAGATACTACTATTATCCTTAATTTGCAGATGAAGTCCAGACGGGAGAAGGATCACCAGGTCTGGGATTTGGGCTGGCAGTGGGACTCCAGAGCCGCTTAATCACTGCCTGGGATGGACTCAAAGGCGCAGCTGCCTGACTGAACTTGTCTCACAGAAATGAGGACTGGTTAAAGCGGAATCCTGCTGTACACACTCCATCTTCCTGACAACGGCTGTTGTGTTCTGAGGGCTCAGAAAGCCATACCCTAAATAGTGTTTGCGCATGCCAAATACTTTGAAGTAAAGGAAGTCAGAAAACCAAAAAGCTGTGTCAGGTCCAAGATGGCTCTGCCTTAGCCGTAGCCAAGCCACCCAACCAGTCACTCAGGTAAAAGCTTGTCTCTGAAGTCACCTTATCTGCTCAAAGGCAGAACTGCTGAGAAGAGAACATAGCTGCCTTTCAGTCTTTTACCGAAATTTCGTTTTCCAAGCAGGATTGGACTGATGTCAAAAAGAGAAGACTGAAAACCAAACACCACACCCAGAGCACAGAGAACTTCCTAGAAGACCAAGAGCAGTCTCCATAGCTGTTTTTCTTTTATAAACATCACTGACCACCCCCCAATTGCCTCCAGCCCCATTTGCTTCTCCCTATGAAGATGGGTGTGTGGATTTTTGCATGCTGCTGTGTTATTGGATGCTTACAAGCATGGAAAAGGGCTCCTGTGCCTTTTCTTCCCACCGCTGGTCTATCGCCAGTTTAGCCGGGCAGATTTAGACCAGCAGATTTGACGACACTAATCTTCAGAAGAGGAGAAAGAGTTTCCTGCTACCCCATATTCACAAGAAACATTTTGCTCCATGTGAGGCTCCATTAAGAAGAATAACAAAAAAGATTAAGGCTGTATTTCTGTTCAATGATTTTAGAGAAAGAAGGCAGAATGGATCAATTGAAGTCAAAATAATAGTCTTAAAAACATGGTTATTTTTATAATACAAAATACCATCTACTAGAAAATGTAACAGGCAGTCAAGCACTTATGCATGTCTTTATGCACAGTGCACACACATACGCATGTGTGCACATACACACACAGACACACACGTGTATGCATGCACATACACACACACACACACACACACACACACACACTCAGCTCCCCTAACACAATGAAAAACCATCCCTAAGTACAGATAACTATGAACAAGGAGATTCTAATGATTAAAATCTGGAAAATTATTGTTTACCTCATAAAGCCTTTAGGTAATATACAAAAGTCGTTTTTGTCTTACATAATATATCCTGATTATTGTTTCTCCTCCCTCTGCTCCTCTCAATTTCTCCCTTCCTCCCCTTCCATCCAGATCCATCCCTTTTGTTTATCATTAAAAAAACAGGCTTCTAAGGGACAGTAATAAAATATTATAAGATGAGTGATGAGCAAATTGGCAAAGAATGGGCTGGCAAAACCAGCAGAGACAGCTGATCTGAACAGGGAGAGCTCTTGGACCCCAGAGCGACAGTGGGGAGGCCAGCATGGGACTTATCTGGACCCCCCAAATGTGAGTGTCAGTGAGAAGGCCTGGGTAACCTATGGGGCCCTGAGCTGTGGATCAGCGTCTATCCCTGGAATACAAACAGTCATCGTATGCCCATAGCACAAAGAGGGATGCTCTCTCAGCCTGGACTCTTAGGGGAGTGCCTGGACCCTACCCAGAGTGAAATGACAGACTGTAGATATCCCCTATGTGGAAGGATTTGGCAATAGGGTGGGAGGCTGGGGGGGGGGAAGGGGAGTGCGGGAGGAGGGGAGGGAGAGGGAACTGGGATTGACATGTAAAACAAGCTATTTAAAATTAAAATAAAAAGATAAACCAAAAACTACCATATCAGAATAAGACAAAACAAGCAAACCAAAAGAAAAAAAAAAGCTCAAGAAAAGGCACAAGAAGCAGATATAGACACAGAAACCTCTTATCTGCTCACTCAGAAATCCCACAAAAACACTAAACTGGAAACCATAATGCAAAGGACCTGTGGGGTAAAAAAAAGAGAGAGAGAAAAAGATATAAATTAAACTAAATTAAATTAAAAATAAGATAATTAAAGATTAAAATAAAAAGAAAAGCCCCAACAAGACAATATGAGAGAAGGAACTTCCAAAGACAGGATCCTAACTGAACATCTGTTGCCACCAAAGGAAGGTTCCAGAACTGGGGTTGGGTTAGATCTAATTGAGCTGTTGACCAGTGGGCTCCTTTGGGAAATGCCAAGACTATATGCTGATCTCCACAAGTTGATGGCAAGGCTGAATTGCTGAAGACAACACCTACACAACTCCTTATACATGAAGAAGTCAAGGTGGTGACTACATAGAGCCTGTATCCTTATATCCTAGCTATTGTATTTGATAATGGGAGGTTCTCTGTCACCAAAGGAGAAAAATAAACACCAACTCCTCTACAAAGCCTTTGATCTACAAAGATCCTCATGTCCTGCCTGTAAGATATGATAGGGCAATGGTGGCACCAGACGTGTGGGAGTAATCAACCAATAGTTTATTTGACTTAAGGCCTAGTCTATGAGATGGAACCCATACACAACACTGCTTAGGTTACCAAGAACCCAAGATTAGTAACTTAGGAACCTAGGGTAAAATCAAATACTGCTGTTCTAAAAAAAGAATAAACATAGCTAATAATGACTCCTAATAACTTTCCATACTCATAGACCAGTGTCTTATTTAATTGTCATCAGAGAAGCTTCCTCCTGTGGCAGATGGGGACAAATGCAGATATGATGTAGAAAGTGAGAGACCATGAAACACTCAGCCCTAAATGGGATGTCTCCATAAAATCCTTCTCCTCAGAGAACCCTGCAGAAGAGGAGTCAGGAAGAGTGGATGAGCCAGCAGGGATAGAGGAATCCAAGGAAACAAGGCCCTCTAAATCAACATGTTCCATACACATGTGAAGAATGAGACAGTCTGCACAAGGGCCTCAATGGGTCTGTACCAAAGAGGGTCCTAGAGCTAAAAGACATGTCCCCATCCTTAATTCAGAAGCAATCTCCAACTGATAACCCCTTGCTAATGAAAATGTGGTTTTCTCAAAGGGCAATTCACTGGGGGAAACAAACTACTCTTAACGGCTGGCTCCATGTCCAGCAGTAGATGGGCAGCAGAAAATGAACTCAAAAGTCTTAGGTTTTATATAAGTGGCATTTACTTAGGCCATGGTTCTTATTATTGTCACAAATTATTAATAAAACAACAGCTCTTAAGATCAGCACAGTAAAAATGACTAACAAAAGATAAATGTGGAGAGTATTTAGAATGTAGGCTTTCAATTGTAATTAATATATTTGCAATGTGCCTACTGTATTAGTTCCTTTTTTTCTCACTAATGTTGCAAATTAGTTCTTTCCTGTAAGCAGAAGATACAATAAAAAGGTGATTTGAGGACTTCCATAAAAGATGGACAATATTCTTTACACTATTCAAGTTCATATAACTCAAGACCTCTCAAGAAGAGTCTGTCAAAGCACAAGAAATAGATATCACTTGGAAAGTTCTTAAAAATGCTCACATAACTTCAAATAACTACAATACTCAGAATTACTTGTCTTTCAATTTTTCCTTAGTTTATGTGTGTGGGTGTTTTGCCTGTATGTATGTATGTATGTATGTATGTATGTATGTATGTATGTATATATGTATGTGTTGTATGTGTACTGCATTTTTTTTTGTTTTTTTGAGACAGGGTTTCTCTTTATTGTTTTGGAGGCTGTCCTGGAACTCTTTGTAGACCAGGCTGGCCTTGAACTCACAGTGATCCACCTGCCTCTGCCTCCAGAGTGCTGGGATTAAAGGCATGTGCCACCAACGCCAGGCTGTACTGCATTTTCATTTGCAAGTGGTTATCAACTAGAGATAGCTTTTGGGTTAGGGATGGAGGCACGTGCCCACTTCTCTTCTCAGCTCTAGGACCCCCATTGGTACGGACCCATGTAGAAGCCTTTACAGTATTGATGCTGAGCAATACTGAAACACCCTGAAACCTAACCTAGTTTACTTAGTCTACTGAGTAAATGGCTGCTTAGCCCTTGACATAGACACTTGCACACACTCATACTTCCATATGCTTTTTCTTTCAGTGAGCTGAGGCAGTCATCGAACATTCACTAACAACTCCCTGCCCTTTCCATGACCTTTTTCTTTTGCTTGATAGATTTTGCTTTCTTGAGTTTGGATGGGGCTATGACTGAGTCTGACAAAATCCATGTGACAAATCTTTACTTAGCCACTGAAGCACTGTTGACAGATATTAAAAAGTGCCTTTCCATTGGTGACTACCCCAATTGTTATCAGAGGTCCTTCATCCAGAAACTGATGGAAACAGATGCAGAGACCACAGTAAAACATTAGGCAGAGCTCAGGGAATCCTGCTAAGAGAGGGAGGAAGGACTGTGGGAGCCAGAAGGGTCAAGGATATCACAAGAAAACTCACATATACAACTAGCCTAGCTCATAGGAACTCAGAGTCCAAACCAACTCTGCAGGTTGGTCTGACCTACACCCCCTGCATATGTTACAGTTGTGTAGCTTTGTATATTCGTGGGTCTCCTAACAATGGGAGAAAGGTCTGTCCCTAATGCTGTCCCTAATTGCCTTGCCCAGCCTAAATATAAGGGGAGGTACTTAGTCTTATTACAACTTGATATGCCATGCTTTTTGATACCCATGGGAGGCCTGCCTCTTTCTGAACAGAAACATAGGAGGATTGGATTGGGGGGATGAAGGCAGAGGGGAGGCGGGGGAGGGACTGAGAGGAGAAGAGGGAGGAGAAAGTGTAGGTGGGATGCAAAATGAATGAATCTTTGTTGGATAAAAAAAAAGTGCCTTTTCTCTTTATTGCCCTAAACAGTAAAAGTTCAGAAAGTGTCTGCTCTAGTAGTTTGGGTCCTTGAAAGATCAGAAGAAGCAAAATGCCCTTCCCAACCTGTGGCACGTACACAGGAAGACTTTGGATGTGTTTTAGTTTCTTCAGTACCTCAGAAAGCTCTGTCTGCAGATGTGCTGATGCTGAAGAAGTCAGTCTACAGTGCAGAAGCAGCAGCTGGCTTAGCATTGGTAATAAAGAGATAAAAACCAAGCTATTACAGGTTTCTTTTCCCACATGAAGGAAGACCAAAAAGGCATTCAGTGAGAGCAAAAACACGACACACTCAAGTATCTGCAGTGCTACAGGTGTCTTTTTTGTGGGATGGGGGTTAACTCATGTAGCCCAGGTGAGTGTCCAACTCGATATAAAGCTGACAGTGACTTGAACTCCTGATCTTCCTGCCTCTGCCTCCCAATGGCTGTGACAGCAGGAATGTGCCACCTTGCCTAGTTTTATGCAATCCTGTGGATGAGCCCAGGGTTTTATGCATGCTGAGCAAACACATGTCCAGCTCTGCTAAAGGTGTCTTTTACAAATGAGTTTCTTAGCTGAGTTGTCTTGGGTACCAAAGTGTAGAAAGCATTAAAACTAATTAGAAACAGGGGCTACAGATTCAGCATCTAAATGGAAGAAGCTTTAGAAGATGCAGAGACAGGATAGGAGAGACAATAGAGAATTGTTTTTAGGAAGTTGATTAGGATTCACACACGATCAGAAGACGAAGGATTCATTTACAAATAATTCAAGATAATGTTTATAGAAGCAAATGAATCTGTCATGCAGATAAAACTGAATTACAGGTTTGGTGAGATGGTTCAGTGGTTAAGAGCACTGACTGCTCTTGTAGAGGACCTGGGTTCAGTTCTAAGCATATATGTGGTGACTCACAAACATCTGCAACTCCAGTTCTAGGGAATCCAATGCCCTCTTCTGGATTACCTGTACACCAGGCATACATGCTGTTCACATACATATATGCAGGCAAAGAATCCATAGGCATAAAATGAATAAACCTTAAAAAGTTTAAAAATAAACAAAACAAAGTAAATTTAAAAGTTAAATTTACTCTGAGGGTGATGGGGGAGGTTCTGTGTATATGTCAATAAAGCACTATTGGCCAATAGGGAAGCAAAATAGGTAGGACTAGGAGTCTAGGAGAATTCTGGGAAATGCAGTGAAGAGACCTGTCGCCATGTGATCTCTCTGTAGGAATGGACATGGCAGGAGTGCATCCTTGTAAAGATAAGTCCTTATAAAATATATATTAGTAATTATGGGTTAATAATCAAATCAGAGCTAGTTGATAAGAAACCGAGCAAATGGCCAAT